TTGGAGGAAAAAGAAAATTGTTTATTTTGTTGTTCGAGCTGCCACTGTTGCAGGTTTTCTTGCAACTGCTGTTGTCTCTCTTCTTGTTTCTTTTCTCATTCTTCTTGTTTCTTTTGCTGCTCTTGTATTGCTGCCATCAAGTCTGCTAAGCTGTAGTTTGATTTGCCACTTCTCGTTTCCATTTCTTTTTTTTTTTCGTTCCACTTCTGACACCAATTTGTTACGTCTCCGTTCGTTAGTTAATTTTCTGTAAATTCGTTCCGACGAAACTTTAGCGATACAAGTTCTTTCTTAAATAAAACTGGTTTATTCTTTCCAAATACAACTTTACGATACACTTGATTTCAACAATCGCTCTGTAACAAACGCTATATTTCTCAACGAACTTCTCACGTGCTTAACAATATTCTCTTTGACTGCAGTTCAATTACTCATTATCTCCCCGTTGCTTCGAGATTTAAGGAAAAGACGTGAAAGGTCGATAATGACGTGGCGTGATACTAGTCACGTGACCTTGATGTCGCAACAATACTAAAACAAGGTAAATGTCAGCTCTTTTCCTGTGTAAACAGCTTTTGTTTTGTTTTTAAGAAAAACAAATCTTAGTAGCATTTTTTCATTGTTTTTTGACTTAAATGTTCATGTAAAGTTTTTTTTTAGTATTGATACATTTATATGTACAATAGTGATGCTACCTTTCATGTTTCAAAATCAGTGTATAATGTTATACTGTATATGCTATCATAAATATGGCTTTTGCAGTTTTCTAAAATGTTTGTAATAAAATACATATCTATAAATTTCCATTCATTCATACAGCTTTTTCTTTGCACAACTTCACGTGTTTGTTTTTGATCATGCAATTTGTATGTATATTATTCCTTTTAGGCATGTATAAACATTTGTGCATAATATTATTTTCCGATATTTGTAAATTATTTTACCTTTCTAAATGTTATGAATAAACTTGTGTTGCGTCAGCGAGTCACATGACTACAGTGACGCCACGTTTCTAGAACTATCCTGTACTTTGGCGAATGCTCTAGTATTTAGATATAGGGTAGTCGGGTATATATAAAAGGGGGACAATGTGACGCGGTAATGTGTGTGTAGATAGTGAGTAATTGATCTGCAGTCAGAAGTATTATTGAGCACGTTCGTCATTATAGCGTTTGTTTAGCGCGATTGTTGAAGTTGAGTGTATTGGTAAAGTTGTATTCGGAAAGAATAAAC